TTCGGTTCTTCAATGACAACATCAACAGAATCAGACTCAACAACATCAACTTTTGATACAGAGTCATCAATTATAGATGGTCCCCCCAAAAGCCGCAGAGGAGACGCCTCCAAATGGGGAATAACTCTCAAAGGGTCTATAGTATTAGAAACAAGCCAACACAGTATTCGGATCAAAAGAACCATACTCTTCCTACTCCCCCTCAATTTGCACAAGCAACTTCTGGTCTCTACAAGCCAACATCAGATCCTGTTCGTCAAAAACCACGACCTTCACAGCACGAGGGCCAATGACAAGCGGATCAAACCTCGCTCTAGCCTTGGGAGGTTGACCCTTAATAGCTGCACACTGATAAGGCACGGAATATATGGTTTTCTTTTGCCAAAAAACCACACCCTAGACTTTGAGAACCAGATCCAGCAACGCTCCTTTCTTTGCCAATAAAAGAAAAATGAGACTCCAACCAAAAAACCTTTTCTCCTCCACCGGCTTCCAACAAGACTCCTTGTTAAATTTGGAAAAATGCAGTTGCAAAAAATTCACTGCAAAAATCTCGCGATCACTTTCCAAAGGCAGGTCATCATGGAGATATACCTTGGGACTTGGGGAAAGTGCCATGTGCAAAGAGGTGCCGCTTTCCATGGTATCGCCACCCATCCCATTTAGCAGAACAACACCGTCATTCAAGACTTTAGATTTACAACTAACAACCCATGTAATTGGTGAACGCGAGACCACCCAAATTTGTAAACACAGCTTTCATAATATCCGAATTTGAATTGCATGGGAACCGCCTTACCCTTAACATCAGGTGGTTCCTCCCCAAGAAGTGATCCATCAAGCATTTTGGAAATGGTGCCAGCTACCGCGATAGGTAGACTCAAGGTAGGTACCACTCCCGAAGTATTAGCACCCATAGTCTCAATGCATGGCAACTCCCAAGAATAATCACCAATAAAATCTGTAAAAAAATCCAACCGGCACCCATTTCCTTTTCAAATTTGAAATAAGCAAATTCAAAATCTTGCTGCTCTTCTTCTTCTTTTTGAAGTGCTGCCTCCGGTGTTGATTCCGACGACGGCCATCGAGATTCCCAGCAACATGCAGATTTTGAGTAGTTTCCTTGTGCTGAGCATCTCCACCATTACAACTCAATCTTGACTTTACAACTTTCGCCACTAACCCTGTCTTCAATCCCTCCACCATGATCTCTAAAGGCAATACCTCTTTTCCAGGGTACGACAGAACCAACCCATCATCAACCACAACTTTAATTAACAAAAGTATCTTTCCCCACCTGGAACTGAACAGATAGTGGTAGAGGCTAACCCAACACCATCTAAACCTTAACCCTGACAGAGCGTTGGTTAGCCCCTACAAAGGACGTCCAATCCAAACCACAGTAGTCACCACAACTATTAGCAATACTCTTGATAACAGATAGTTTCCACACATTAAAAGGAATACCCCAAAGTCTCACCCATGTACAAACTCTCTGAGTAGATGACGAATGATCAGAGGGTTTCCACAGATCCAAAGAAAGAACTTTACCTCGGACTCTGAGAAATCTAGCACGGAAAGCTTGACAATCGTCCCCTCATAATGAAGCATAAAAACCACTTTATTCTCACCAATGATCTTTACCTCTAGAACATAGTTGAGAGATCACCCTCTTTTGATCCAATCTCCAAGACAAAAAATGTCATAAGAAGGAAGCGAGAAAGAACCCACCACAACGTTTTTGACCAACAAAAGGCCCTCGTTTCACACCTCTTGATCAACTGTAACTAAATAATGATATATCTCTAACACCACACCATAGATCCCCTACAATTTTCTCACCAACGTAATCCCTCTCTAGATTTCTCTCAAATTCTCCACCGTTCAGTATTATATTTTCTACTAAAATTGTTCATTGAGAGAGAGAGAGAGTGAGTGATGATCAAGATCACTATTACAACTAAAACCTTAACAAATGCTTCCTATCGATCATGTCTTTGACCACTTCGAAGGAAATGTCACCCAAAACCCTAATCCACAACTAAACATGGATACAATCAAGTAAAGATGTTGATCGACGGAAAAGATACACTTACATTGTCTGGATAGGCCTGCTCAAATTCCTTCTCCAATCTATTTTAAACAACATTACAGTGCTCCATCCATCGCATCCCAAAACAACCCAATTTTCAGCAGCCTAAAATTAGAGAGAGCAGCATACTCAAATTATTAGCAAAAACCTAAATTTCAACAGCATAAGGCTAGACAGAGAGCATCATTCTCAAATTCTCAGCAATCTTTCCTCATTAAAAATCCCCCTTTCTCTCTCCAAAACCCAAAAAATAAAACCTTTATTCAAAAAAAGCCTTCCTAGAGCAATAATCTCGAACCCATTTCTACCAAAACCTAAAGAGAGAAACCCATCATAGAGAAATCCAATACCAACCATTCAAACGAAAACCTAGAGAGATAAATTGTATTCTTTCTAAAACCCTCCACAATGGTCAATTTTTGCTCTCTTTGTGGAATCTTCTCTCGCATTTCATACAATCATTACCTCCCTTTGTTTCCTCTTGAAGTTTGCACCTGGCACCAACCACGTCAATTTAAGGCTGCCAACAGGCCTGGGCTATGGCCGCCTTGGCGTCCCCCTTAGTTTCAATGGTGAAGCCTGTGCCTGAATAGTCTAAGCTAGGATAAGCCAGAGCCTGTCTCAACAGCTTGTGGGCTAGCCATGGCTTGGGCTGAATGCAAGCTGCTAATAGACCTAGTTCCGGTTCGCACCAGGCTTGGACCAAACCCGCTGCAACATTCTAAGCTAGGCCACACCCAGAGAGGGCTTGTGTGCCTCTTGACGCCGAGATTGTGTCCACACTAGAGGTCCTCAGTCTAGCCTCACGCGATTTGATGCCTTTCGCATCACAACCACAAAAGGGATAAGAAGAGCACGCCCTCGGTCTAGCCTCACACAATTCGATGCCTTTCGCATCACCACCACAAAGCGTTAAGAACAGCACCTACTCTACGCGCCTGAAAATAGATGGTCCAATTTATGTGTTACAACATTCACTATTTTTCAGAATTGAATATGTTTCTTTCTGTACGAATTCCATGTGATCAATTTGATGCATCCCTTGCCCTATGTGCCAATCTTTTCAATTAATAAGTGTTCTTTTGCAAACATATTCGACATACGAGGGAGATGTCACATGTACAAAGCTTTGCCAGACTAGTGCCACTATTCTCATTTTCTTTTTCTTTTTTTTTTTTGAAAAGCATATTTCCCATTATTGTATGGTCATATGTTCCTCAATGATGTCCATCTAATGAAGAATGGAGGTCAAACCAGTGTAGTAACCACATGGATTTAGATAAGTTATTTGGACTCGCTCTATTGGCAAGGCTGAGTAGGGGGGTGAGTTCCACGACGACTGGACCTACCCTTACTAAGGTGGAAAAAACATACAAAAACATTGAAAAAAAATTCCATATTACTTGCTAGTTTTGTGAATGATTTTGATAGTTTTTAAGGCAATTTGGGAATTTTTATATTTTTTTTAAGCTTTTAGAAATATTTAAGATCTAATCTAAATTTTCAATAATCCATCTTTTATACAGATTTTCTTTTCTTTTTTTTTTCATGTTTTAATGATTTCTACTTCCTCTTTTATGTTTAGAAGAAGTTTATATAGAGCCGAGGCTTTAAACAATCAAATTTGAGCCCACCTCAGAAATTTCACTAGAAGTTGATGCCCAAATATTCTCAAATTCATCATCTCGATATCAAGATACATGGACATAAGAAAAAAAATGGATTTCAAGTTCTGGAAATAATTCATTTTGTAATGCATTTTTGGACTATCAATATTCAAGATTATTTTAAAATTTTTATAGATCTGCTCAATCTACACTATTTTTTAAGCTTTAAATTTTATAATTAAAGATAAAAGAATGTTTGAAGGGTATTACAAAGATTTTTAGTATTGAAACCACATTTCACGATATCATTTGAAGGTGTGGTTTATTTAGATTGTTTAGAGCCTCGGCTCCATACAAACGGCATTTTGGGGTTGTGCAGGACTTGGCCAAGTCCACTTGACAGCCGCAAGAGCCGAGTCTCTTGGCGCAGGATGTACGGCGTTTATTTCTTTTTCACTAGATTTGCAGGGGTTTCAATGGTAGTATGAAAAAATGAACTACATAGATAGGAATTGCTCAGTGTCCTAATTTACTTTAAAAAACGGGGCGCGTCTTGCGCTAAGTTTGTTGAAAGAGGTTGGAAATTTCATCGAATAAACCAAAACATCAAAACCATTTGCCATGACCACAATCAAACAACCAAACAACAAACCCATCATCACCAATTCATTTGACCTCCTATCAACTCTCAAGTCTTAACCCCAATCAACACGGAGTCCACATTCTTGAATTATGGGAGGGAGGCAATGCGTGCACGGGGGGGGGGGGGGGATGGGGGATGGGGTAGGTGGTCCACGAAAAGTGGCTGCACCGCGCCACATGTGACTGACAATCCCACTCTTCTCTCTCTAAACTCCCCCTGCCTCTGCCTCGTGATTCCCACACCCCTTTCAACAAATAACCACATATACGCTTAGTGGTGGTTACGGGTCGGGTCGACCCAGACCCGATTGGGTTTTACATGGATCCATTCCAAGTTATTTATTTAGACCCAAACTCGACCGTTTAGAACTAAACCCAACCCGCAGGGTCCAAAAACCGGATCCGAAACCAAACGCCATTCGACAATTGGCCCTAACAAAACAACCACATGACTAAATAAAACAACCCACATTACTTTTTTTTCTTATTTTTCTCATCTAAAGTAGTAACATGTATCCATCTCTCGATTCCCACCAAGCCAGATAAAACCAAAACCCTAATTAATCTGCACTAGAAACTGCTCTCTCTCTCTCTCTCTCACCTACTTATCCAAAACTTTCTCTCTCTCTCTCTCACCTACTTATCCAAAACTTACTCTCTCTCTCTCTCTACTATATATATATATATATAAATGAATGAAAAGCAAAATTAAATATTGACTAGTAATGGCTTAACTCTCTCTATCCCACCCTCAAACAAATAAAGGGAAATTAATCTTCACCCATTGCCCCCAATGCCTTCCTCTTTCTTTCGACACAGAACATGCCACAGCTTCACTGCCACCACTCCCCACTCTTTCTCTCTCTTATCCTTCTCGCTCTTCCCCATGTACTGGGCGCCGGCCACGACTACGCTGATGCATTGTCGAAATGCATCCTGTTCTTCGAGGGGCAACGCTCGGGGAGCCTGCCCGCGGGGCAACGGGTCCGGTGGAGGGGCGATTCAGCGTTGTCTGATGGGCAGGCGGGCGGGGTCGATCTGGAAGGAGGCTATTACGATGCGGGGGACAATGTCAAGTTTGGGTTTCCTTTGGCCTTCACGACGACGATGTTGGCGTGGGGGATGAGTGAATTCGGGGCCCCCGGTGAGGTCAGCAATGCGATGGTCACAATACGCTGGGCCACAGACTACCTCCTCAAGGCAGTCTCGCAGCATGGCCGGGTGTTCGTGCAGGTCGGTCGGCCCGACTCTCTCTCCTTTTTCTTTTTGGGTATGACTCTTTGTAGATTTGTTATTCTCTTCTTCACTCTTAGACACCCATAACTGCGAACTCTCTCTTTCTCAAACTTGCAACTTTTTTCCTCTGCAACTTCTCTCTCTATCACACTACATATTGCTCTTTTCCTACTCTCTCTCACACATACCCAATACCCTTACTCCTACTACCCCTCTCTCTCTCTCACACACACAATACCCTTATTCCCATATACCCCCTTCTCTCTCTCCCCAAATTTGTGTCTCTCTCTAAACCCCCCAATTTGGTGGAGCGTCTCTCCTAAGGTCTTTGTTTTTGGACCCAGTTTCTATGCGGCCAGGCTCACACACACAATACCCTTATTCCCATATACCCCCTTCTCTCTCTCCCCAAATTTGTGTCTCTCTCTAAACCCCCCAATTTGGTGGAGCGTCTCTCCTAAGGTCTTTGTTTTTGGACCCAGTTTCTATGCGGTCAGGCTCACATACGTACAAACGAGGGCCTCTAAATAAATCTATTTTTGAGATGGGTTTTAAGATTTAGTTTTTAAATAAATATAATCTCTAACATGGAGATCATGAATATATAAAAAACTAAATAAATTTTATAAACTCGAAATAATAATTCTATTAAGAAATCAATTTGACCGTTAATTTTCCTTTGTTTTTTTTAGATAGATCACCTCTTTGCATCCATCTTTAAAAATGGATGCTTCACACTTTCTCGACTGCATGTGTAGAAATGCCCTTCCAGCCCGCATGAAACAATGAACAAATTTCCTTTGTTTTTTCTGCCGACAAACAAAGTACGATGGCGTTACGTTTTATTATTATTGAGTATGCTCCTGCAGGAGCGTACTGTTCTTTTGCTCCCTTGTGCAAAATACCAATTTAGAGGGATAAATTTAGTCTAGTATATTTGGAAACACATAAGAACTACTAGATGATTATATTCAAAAGGAAATTTTGAATTTTGAGTTTTGTGACACTTAGTTCTAGGTCTTAAAAAATTTGATGGTCTCTATTGAATCTTGAGGCATTTTTTTTTCTAGTACATACATAGTTTTTGTTTGAAATTTTTTTTATTGAGATTATTTTATGAATTTTTTTAATTTGATGGTCTCTATTAAATCTTGAGGCATTTTTTTTTCTAGTACATAGATAGTTTTTGTTTGAAATTTTTTTTATTGAGATTATTTTATGAATTGTAGAGATCTAAAAAGTATTTCTAACATGTGTTATATGCAAGGGAGTAAATGGATGGTATACCCCCCCGTTGGAGTAGGAAATATTTTGGCTTATTTGGAAAGGGAATAATTTCGTGGTTTCTCTCTTATATGCTCCTATAAACCCACATTTAATTATGGATGTTTCGGACTAATAAATAATTATAGGGATATTTTAATCAAATGTCCGGAAAAGCACCTGCTTGTCTTGCCCTTTTAATGAGGAACATTGCATTAATTGTGTTTTATTATGAGTGACCCAAGATTTATTAATTGAGGGTGTTTAATTAATCGGAACTTTTTGGCGTCACGTAATCCCAAATTAAGGATGTTTTTGGGTCATTTTCTAACATTTGATGTATCTTATTAGTTTTCCATATTTATCGAAGGCATGTGCGTATCGCTTTTATACGGTACTATCTCCAACAAACAAAAGCACTGGAAAAAAAATCTAAATAAATTAATAAAATTTTGAAAATAATAAACATGCATTAGAAGTAAAGTCAAACTCAAGACGACTTTAAAAAGTTAAAAATGGAAAAAAATAGATATGGAAAAACCTGATTTACATATTAAGACACTTTAAAAATATGAAAAAAAAAAAACATAAAAAGTGATTGTGGCAAAAAACACTCACAATCCGTGCCAAATACATCCAAATCATATGAGAAATTTTTTGTAATATATCTTTATTTTTTAGTGTTTTTTATTTTTTGAAATTTTTTAAATGTCCTAAGTTATACACACAATTCAGGGGGTACTCGGCCCCACCCCTAGGGTGAGTCCGCGTAACTCGGCCGAGTCCAAATCGATTAGGCTGAGTACCTGCACACTGCATCAATATTTTGATTAATTTGCATTATTCCCCAAAAGAAAAAATTACTCAGGCCTTTTGGATAGAAATTTAAGGCTTAGTGAAAGTTATGTGGCAGGTTGGTGATCCAGTTCAGGACCACAATTGCTGGGAGAGACCAGAGGACATGGACACCCCTCGAACTGTATACAGTGTCGATGCTGCGAATCCTGGGTCAGAGGTGGCTGCAGAGACAGCTGCAGCATTGGCCGCTGCCTCCATCGCTTTCCGATCCTCGGACTCGGCATACTCACATACATTACTCCAAAATGCTATCCGAGTGTTTGAATTTGCTGATAGTTATAGAGGAGCTTATAGTGATAATCCGAGCTTGAAACCTGGAGTCTGCCCTTTTTACTGTGACTTTGATGGTTATAAGGCATGCCCCGATTGTCCACTTATTGTTACTTTTATGATTCATTTATTTATGGGAAATTTATTAAAATACCTATTGTTTAACAATTTATTATTTTGGAACTATTTCAATTCAAGGTTATGGGTTATTTTATAGGCATTTTGAAATTAAATAAAAAATATGGATAAAGTGTTAAATTTCATCTCTGATAAGTAATCTGATAAATTCCCCATATTATTTATTTCTTGTGTGCACATTGCACGTCTCATTCAAGCATGCGCTTAAGGGAAGGGTTTATTTCTTGTATTCTTTTGTTTTTGTTTTTGTTACATATAGCAAATTTCATACAATGAGGAATCACATGAAAAGTATATACTGAGACCACAATTAATTTTGACCATTGGATGTCAAATTGGGTGGCTGCATTTATTTCATGAAAAAATCTCAAAGTTCAAAAAAAATGTTCTCGAACTTTGTGACAAACCCTAGCTATTAGATTTCACAATGGGATGGTTACGAGTAATTGTGATCTCTATGGGAAATAGTCTCATTATATACGATCCTTTTAAAAAAATTAAAAATCTATTTAAAATTCACAAGATATATTTATTTATTTTCTTTTGAAAATTTCTTTTTGTTTTTGTATGGTAGGATGAATTGTTATGGGGAGCTGCATGGCTTCGAAGGGCAACCGGAAATGAGACATACCTTAATTACGTTCAAAATAATGAAAGGATCCTTGGTGCGGACGAAAATATCAACGAGTTTGGTTGGGATAATAAGCACGCTGGACTCAATGTACTCGTATCTCAGGTCCGTATATAGCTTTGTATGACCTCAACTAAAGTACCCATTAGTACTGCATTGGACTGGGTAGCCCGACCCGGCCTTGTCATCCTAGCTCTAGAGTTCAAGCTATAAAATGTGGCCTCAAGGATAGGACACCATGGCCTGAGGGTCGACCAGGTCAAAAAAGGGCTACCTAGCCAGTTCTTTATTATTCTTATTATTATGAGAAATGTTTCTATATTTCTCCTACAACATAAAATATCTATGCTTCCTCTACCATCCAGCCATTCAATTTTAATCAAGAGAGCCACACACTATTTGATCTTAGATCTAATGTCTAAAAGTATTTTATTTTTAATATTTTTTTTGTACAAATTGTATGAATATGAAATTTGGTACATGTCATCTTCTCATTGGGGTGCACCTATAAAAAATATTGAAAATAATTATTTGATAAAATATAATGACCAAAATACCCTTTGAAATATTCAGGGGTATTTTGATCATTTTATTTTATTGTAAATATATTTTTTATATTTTTCACTAGTGCTAGTTTAACAGAGGATTGGACCTCCAAAATTTGATGTCAAAATAGCTTACAGAAAAAAATGAAAAATAAAATAGTGTAGAGACGTGACATTGTGATTGAGGTAGCCCTCCATTCAGAATGGATGGTTGTTTATGGAGAAGTATATAAGTTTTATGTTGTAGGGGATGCATAGAAAGTTTGTTTTGTTATTATTATTATTATTATTATCATTATTATCATCATCATCATCATCATCATCATCATCATCATCATCATCATCATCATAATAATAATAATAATAATAATAATAATAATTATTATTATTATTATTATTATTATTATTATTATTGGCTCGTCCTGGATAGGCCTAGGATATCATCGGCCCGGTCTAATCCCAAGCCGGCTAGGCCCTGCTCAATGTTAGCTCTAATGCCTACCTTTTTTGAAGTTAATGTGATTGACTTTCAATCTCAAATTGGATTTTGATTCTTAACTTTTGAAAAAAAGCAAATTTTAAAACCCAGGATGTTTTCGTGAGCATAAGTAACAAGAACCTATATGGGACGTTCAGGTCACTACTTTTCCCATTGCCATATTTTTTGTTTGGATGTAGTTTCTATGAGGCTTAGCCTTACAGGAAAAAAAAAAAGTAACGCCTCACTTCATAATTGTGTCAAGAAAGCACTTCCCATATGGAAAATCCCTAAAATGGCTCTAAAATATATTTCCACCATCGATTATAAAATTTATGGCCCAAAAAATGGTAAAGATTTTATAGTTCTATGAACACTTGATAATAGATGGTCTAGCTAGAAATCCTTTTTTTTTTTTCACAACTATAATGATCTGGGTCGAGATGATCGATTTGAAGGTTTTTCAATACTAAAACTATGTTATTTTGGTGAATTTTGAAGTGAGGACTGTCCTCTTTTTTTTATAAAGCCTTGACTTTATTTTAATCTTTTCTATTTTCTTCTGAAAATTGCGATTTAGAGCTTTCCTTTAATGTGAATCTCAAGGTGTTGTGGGTACTCGGTTACTTTTTAATTGTTAGATTATTGTCGCTGAGCATATTTTCTGGACCTTAATCACGTTTGATACGGTAATATTAACTCACTTTATAAGGTCAGCATTAGATTTCTCAAGGATAAAGACATAATTACATAACCTAGCTATAAGGTGCAACTCTGATGTTAGAAATTACTACAATGAGTTAAAAAACTATTTTCTTTTATTGATTAGAAAATTTGAAGCTAAAACAAATGCTATAGATTTGGTAAATATGTGAACGCTTCAATTTATACGGTTGAAATAATGTATGGTATATTATTTTTAGTATTTAAATATGATTTTTTTAGATATTTTATGAAAAAGGAGGCCGTACTACCCCTTTGAGAGAGACACGAAAAGGGGGCAGACCTACCAGAGAGGGAGAAACTGTTTCATTTATTTTTAAATTTTTTTTATCGCCATTTTGAATCGATTCAAACCAAATCCGAATCATCGATCTAGAGATCCAATACAGATCTATAAGTAAACAATTTGCCAACCAAACATAATTTTAAAACAGTGGGTTTACATGAATCCCTCTCCCCCTCTCTCACCCTTTTTCTTTCTCATTGCGATTTAGCGTTAGGTAATTGGATTCATATAAGCCAGCTCCCTCTCTGTCTTTCTCCTATAAAAATGCATTAATGGTGTTTTGGTTATAGGAATATCTTGTAGGGCATGAGATGTCTCTTCAATCGTACAAGGAGTACGCAGAGACCTTCATATGCACCCTGATCCCCGACTCTCCCTCCCCCCACATCCAATACACCCCCGGCGGTCTCATCTACAAGCCCGGCGGCAGCAACATGCAACACGTCTCGGCCATCGCCTTCCTCCTTCTCGCTTATGCCAACTACCTCTCTCTCTCCTCCCAAACCCTCTCATGTGGGACTCTCATGGTCAGCCCCGCCACTCTACGCACCCAAGCCAAAAGACAAGTAACCCTCTCTCTCTCTTTGATTGTTACCCTCTATTTTCCTCTTTCATACTTGTTGTGCGGGGCGCATAATGAGGCAATAAAAAACTAGAGCCTGAACCACAAAATGAAACTCAATAATAAGGCAGGGCTATATCTGACATGTTTAGTTTTGACTAGGGCCACAATCTGGCCTGACCCACCCCTAGCAAAACCCTTTTTAAGGCCAGGCCTAGGTCTGGCCCAGTCCTATAGGCCCATCTTTGGGCTAGAGTTAATGTTGGCCTAACCTAAGGCCGGCCCATTGCCAGCCCTACTGTTATGCATGAACATTACTTCCCTATTCAGAGAGAGCTCTCTCCAGGTGATAGTCCCTATCTTAACAACCGTACTCGTAGGGTATCTATAGTCTAATTAATTGATGGATGGTGATGGATGGAGAGTTCGAACCACCATTTCTGTCCTTGATGGAAGTGGCTCTTATTATTTCTTTCTCATCAACGTGCATGACTTCAATGGATGGTGATTATTTCACAGGCTCTAGTTTTCTTGTTAGTAGTATTTTTATATCTCAAAAATGGTAGGTAGTTTGTCGGTAATGATCCTTATAACCAACCCTCTACCAACTGAACTATGGATAAGTAAAATGCTTTGATGGACCAATTTATTCACATAGACACCTTTGTGAGACCATGGAAGTCCAAACATGCCATAATATAAGGATCCGGTTTCTATGTGGCCAAGCCCGCATATGTAGAAATGAGGGCCTCTTAATAAATCTATTTTTGAGATGGATTTTAAGACATAATTGCTAATGTGGAGATTATGAATATAAATAAATAAATAAATTTTTAAAACTAGAAATAATAATTCTAGTAAGAAAACATTTGGACCATTAGTTTCCATTGTTTTTAGATGGAACGCCTACTTGCATCCATCTTTAAGATGGATGCTTTATACTTTCTGGACTGGATATGTAGAAATGTGGTTCAACCTGCATGAAACAATTTTCCATAATATAATTGTGGCAAATGGTGCTTCAAAGACTCATTTGCCATTTAATCTCGATGCCAAATGTTGACTTAGGGGTCGCAAAGGACCAGGCCTGGGATGGCCCACCTTGGCCCCAGCCCTAACCGAGACAAAAAGGCCTTAGCCCAAGCCTTATCAAGACTGGACTGAGCAAATAAAATAATAATAATAATAAATGAAAGAAAAAACAAATAAAAAGAGGGCTGGGCTGGGCTAAACCTTCCCAGTCTTGGCCCAGTTTCGGCCCGATCCTACCCTTGGACCATGGTTGCCCAACCCTTCCCCAGCCCTCCGACCACATTTCTTGACCGAGGCCCAATTGTATAGGGCCAGGCTAACCAGGCCCATTGCCAACCCTACTCAACGTGAGGAAGAATGCTCTTGAGAGCCCCACTTTAAGAAATCTCCTACCAACATTAATGATAAGAAACAACATATCCAGCCTCGTACCATACAACCATATTCCAGTGGGCCACACTACAGTATAGTACACAACAACTGAATTCCAAGCATTGATATATCTGATTTTTCTCATTTATAGGTCGACTACATTTTGGGCGACAACCCAATGAACATGTCATATATGGTGGGATACGGTGATCGGTACCCCTTAAGGATACATCACCGTGGATCGTCGTTGCCGTCGATCGTAGACCACCCTCAGTCCATTGCGTGCAAAGAGGGCTCTGTGTATTTCAATTCATCGGGCCCCAACCCTAATGTACACGTCGGGGCGATCGTAGGGGGCCCCGGGGAGGATGACACTTACAATGATGACCGTGGCGACTTCCGCCTCTCGGAGCCCACAACTTACATCAATGCTCCCTTAGTTGGCGTGCTCGCATACTTTGTCGCTAACCCCATCTAACAGTGACACCAACACTTACAGAAAAGGTGCGAACCCCCTCTCACTTTGTGCCACACTGAGTCAATTCTCATGGATATCACACTCCATTAATTTCATTTTGAGAAGGTATATGATGAGACAATTTACCTTTTATATAAGATAGTCACAATTAATCTTGACTATTGGATGTGAAATTGGGTGGTTGCGTTTATTTCATTGACCAAGCTCAAAATTCAAAAGAAATTTTTTCGAACTTTATTACATACCCAAACTATGAGATTTCACGTCGGATGGTTATAAGTAATTGTGACTTCCATGTATCAAAGGTAAATAGTCTTATTGTATACAATCCTTTTTGTTTTTAGGTGGATTAATTTGAAAACTAGGGAAAATCAAAGTTTTTTAGTTGGTGGGCGAGGGTTTTGGGGCCTTTTTACAATAGGCGGGTTGGAGAACCAGCTATACTCATGAATAGCTAGAACAACCAAACAGTGCCTAAAGCTATGCAATAGTGAGAAAATAGTAACAATTATGATTAAATTGTCGCCCAAACAGGACCTTAGTGATAACAACAAGTCCAAAAAAAGCTTAATGTGCACGTGTATGAACATTTATTAGAGACATCTACTTAGTAATAACACCACGTCCTAGCTTAATGCACAAGCCATACGTGTGTGAGTGGATCTCATCATCCCTATCATTAGTGCTGGCGAGGGGCCAGGCTACTCTACCGTAAAAAAAAGTAGGGCCTGGACCACAAACTGTGACCTGAGAGCCAGACCAATGTAAGTGCCGGCCCGTTAGCCTGGTTTGGCCCTCTTTTTCTTCTTGTTTTTTCTTCTATTTTTTGTCCGTGACTCGACCCGCCACCCTTACATATCACTTTCTAACCCTTTATATCTTCCCTTGGCAGAAGCAGCAGGAAAATGCACAAAATGAGCCTTTATCATTTTCAAACTTCATTTGCCTTCATCTCTCACAAAGTGGTTAGTGAGGACAAGAGTTCATACATTCACCCAAAGAGAAGAATTCACTGATGCTCCACAATCTTCCTCTGAAGAAGACTTTCTTGCCCATGTCTTGTAAAAAATATGAGAGAGAGAAATAATTGGAACCCTAGAATAAGTTTGTCTTCTCTTTTCTAGGGTTCCGTGGGCTTAGGTTAGTTGAATGTTGTCTACCATTATGTAGGCCCATCAATAATTTAACGTTTCACTACACACCAAGGTTCGAATCCGATACTAACCTGTTGAAAGTAAATATTGTTTTTTTTTTTTTTGAGTAATTTAGTGTGGCTGACGAGCCTCTACCTTTTTTTTAAAATCTTTTTTACTGCATTAGGTGAGAATAGAAGCCTAAAACTTAGCTGGAGCACAAGTGATACTACCACCACGACCCCAACCCCATTTTCAAGTAAATATTGTATTCCTCACCAAACAGAGCATAAATATTACGAATCACAAATTTCTCTTTCAAAATAACATTTCCACATCAAGTTGAGAACATAAAATATTTCTCGAACCAATTTCTCTCGGTATGTGATGCTTTCTTGGGTTGGATTGTAAGCGGGCTCATAAGATATTTCCACTTAACATTGAGTTTCAGTGCAAGTGTGAATAAATAATTGAGTAGATGACCACATGGGAGGAGTTTTTCAATCTCAAACTTTGGTAATCATCTTAAATCATTAGATGATTATTCTCCACAAATAAAAAGCATGAAATTTGAGTTTTTTGAAACTTAGATCTCACCATCTTAAAATTGAACGGTTTTTATTCAATCTTGAGATATTATTATTTTTCAAGTGCTTAGATAGTGAAATTAAGAAATTTTTTAATTAAAGTTATTCATGTATTAGAGAGGTTATATCCCCAAATTTTGAGACCCTAAAACTACTCTTAGGTAGAGTTTTACCACTTAATATTGAGTTTCAGTGCAAGTGTGAATAAATAATTGAGCAGATGACCACATGGGAGGAGTTTTTCAATCTCAAACTTTGGTAATCATCTTAAATCATTAGATGATTATTCTCCACAAATAAAAAACATAAAATTTGAGTTTTTTGAAACTTAGATCTCACCATCTTAAAATTGAACGGTTTTTATTCAATCTTGAAATATTATTATTTTTCAAGTGCTTAGATAGTGAAATTAAGAAATTTTTTAATTAAGGTTATTCATGTATTAGAGAGGTTATATCCCCAAATTTTGAGACCCTAAAACTAATCTTAGGTAGAGTTTTACCCAAGCAAGTATATACATAATATACTCCGGAGGGAGTCGATCATCTTTTGGCTAAATAATTTGATCATCTCTCTCTTTCTTTCTCTTCATGATGGGACTAATGTCTTACATATTAAAAGGTCACATGGCCCTTGAGACTTGGAGGACAGTGGATTTTGTCTTTGAAAATGAAAGGCAATAATTTGTGACATGCGTCTGTGTCCTCACTTCTCGGTGATTATGTTGGTTACATTTTTGGTTGGAGCGGTTTTGCACCAGGACATGAGCTTTCTTTTCATTTTTTCTTTATCTTTTTCTTATATTTCTTTATTCTTGTTCAGTGTTCGAAATTTATTATTCTCCAATCTTTCTTATTTTGATTTAGAACTTGATTCTTTCAGTAAAAAAAAAAAATCAAAATAGTTTCAGGTTACTTATTCCTCCTCTACGAGGGGAGGGATGGTTCCATTGACAGGTTGATGAACCGCTTGAGACCACAAATGGGATTGATTCCTACCCAACCAAATTTCTCTACATGTATCGTTAGCCATCCATTTGAGTGATGAATGGCTTGAGATCAGCAGATAATCAAGAGAAGCATATCTATTCAACCAATTCTCCTTAAGAGTCTATAAAATCACTCTAGGTGTTATTTTTTAAGATATTCATGTTTTAAAACCTCTTTTATTTATGTGTTTCTTTAACTAATTAGAGAAAATAAAATATATAAAAATTTTCTGGAGGTCCCCTTTCGGCTTGTAGATCACGATGAACCTTTTTCACTGTGGTTCCCTTGTTGCTATTGCTCACCATGGTGATGTCCACTGCCGTTTCTCTCACAAGCTTTATGCTGGTTTTATTTTTTGAAAAAGTATACAATGAGACTATTTATATTTGGTACAAAGTAATCTTAATTAATCTTGATCATTGGATGTCAAATAGGGTAGTTACATTTATGCCATTGACCACGTTCAAAGTTTAAAATAAATTTTTTCGAACTTTATAACAAACCCAAGCTATTAAATTACATCGAATAATTCTAAATAATTGTGACCTCCTTATATCAAAGATAAACGGACTCATTCTATACAATCCCATATTTGTTTGCCCAAATGATCCCCTTTTTATCTACTACTTAGTGTTAAGTTTTCCTACCTTAACTTAATATTTTATTATTTAAAACAACGCGCCTTTTCTTTGAGCACGTGATTACTTTTGTAGCACCATGTCTATGCTGCCCCTACAGCATAGAAGTTCTATCTTCCCCCTACCATCCAGCGATCCAATTTTGATCAAGAGAGTCACTCACCGTTTGATCTTAGATCTGACATTTCAAAGTATTTTATTTTTTGTTTTGTTATAAAAATTGTATGAACATGAAAATTGGTACGTGTCATCTTCTCATTGGGGCGCACCTATAAAAAATATTAAAAATAATTTTTCTATAAAATATAATGACCAAAATACTTCTTGAAAATTTCAAAGGTATTTTGGTCATTCCATTTTATTGAAAAAAATTAAAATATTTTTATCTAGTGCGAGTTTAATAGAGGAATGGACGTCCAAAATTTGGCGTCAAAATAGTTTATAGAAAAAAAAATTAAAAATAAAATAGTGTAAAGACATGATATTGTGTTTAAGGCAATCTTAACCCTCCATTCAAAATAGACGATTGGATAAAAGGGAGGATAAAACTTCCATGCTATAAGGGAAGTATAGAAAGCTTGTCTGCTATTTAATTTTCCTGGTCGTATCTTAGGAATGAACTCACCAGGACCGAGTCGTCTCTCAGATTTCTTTGAGTCGAGGGGTTTATCACTTCGAAAAAAGTGATTTCGTCTCATGCCTCTAGATCCCGATTTATCAGTCTCCCTAAATTTTTTATACAAAATATAACCTTTGTTCGGTTAACCAGAAATTAAATTTCGGACTATATGTTTACACTCGACTTTTGTTGAGGGAATATTCTATTGAATTTAACTTTTAGGAATAACAAAAATCTAATAATAAGCTCTTGGCGAAGCGCAGCATCAAAAGTCTTCACGAAGATGATTACTTATGCGGACCATTAGGTTATCTCCAAAATGTTGGCTTTTAAGTTTTTCCATTATTCCTTAATATTATATTGAGGTTACATTTGGATTTTGTGCGTGCCTCATGGGGTACATCTATATTAAATATAAAAATTTATATAAAATAAAATGATCAAAATAGAGTCTTCGGCCATTTTACTTTTTAAAATATTATTTTTATATTTTATATAAGCTCATGAGAGAGAAAAGTAGTTTTTTTTCTTTTTTTTTATATGATCGAGACATACAATTTGACCTATTCTGGATAGGGTATGTTCAGCAATGACAACCATAATGAACATCTTAAACTGGCCAAGTTCCAAATCCCTAGAGGCATGTTCGTTACGTGGGAAAGGGAGTTACGAAAGACTCCCTCTTCCACACACTTTGGAAGCCGTCACTTCCCTGGGTGAGCTTGGAAGCTGGGGCTTCTAACAAACAATGTCACGCTTCCAATATACAAATGCATTAGCATTACAGTTGTGGAAGCCGCTTCTACAAAACAAACATGCCCAAGGCTTTCATATTCAATCAGACACAAGTACATAACCTTGCTAGAACTTCTGAAAAGGTTATGAAACGTGGTATTTTCTCATTTCCAGACAACAAAAAATCCTGCTTCTAGATGTTTAGAGCTTCCAGATTCCGGTTATCAAATAGACCCTTCCAATCTCTTTCAATTGACACAAATTCACATTGAGAAAGAAGAAAATAAAAAACAATTTTTTTTAATGTTAAAAAATGAATAATGAACAAATAAACAAACTTTTAAGTTAGTTGTGAAAATCAAGCCATTCATAACCGTCAATGAAATTCAAGGAGATGAAAGGTTTGGCCTCTTGGGAGGTGAGCTCTCTTGACCATTTTACCCTCCCTCCATACTGTGCTCCTGGTCCGCTGCACTTGTACTGTCCATAGAAAACAGTCCTACAAAAAAAAAATTTATTTTATATTCACATTTTTTATAGGAAAGAATATACAAAGAGATCATTTATTTTTGAGTGCGAGGTTATAATCATTTTTGTCTGTTAGATATAAAATCGGGTGGTTGTAAATGTGACATTGACTAGATTCAAAGTTCAAAAAAAAATTGCTCAAACATCATGAAATACCCGAGCCATCCAATTTGATATCTAATGGCTTAGAGTGATTGTGAACTTATAACAATTATAATTGATCTCAGACCATACAATTCCAGCTAGGACAATTATTTTTTAGAATTATGAAATTCGAATTTGAGGACTCTAGCATTTGGAGATTAATATCAAACTTAGTCAATGTCTGTCTGTCGATCAAAATGGTGCCATCCAATGTGGTATTTTTATATTTGCTTTAAGCAAGTGATGAAAAGAAGAAGTGTTAGTGATTTCTTTGTTTAAATGCGTCCCCTTCCAAAAATTCCTCACAGGGATGGATTTTAGAGCTAAAATTTTACGGATCAATAATATTTTGATCACCATGATCATGAATCTAATAAAAAAAAAATAGACCTTCAGCCTATTCTTTCAAAAGAGGTAAAAACAAGAAATTTCAAAATAGTTCATTAAAAAGTTTAATATTAATTAAATTTAATAATAAAATTAAACTTTCATTCAAATTCGGGTGGTCGAGTTTCCACTTGTTAAATTTTAGATCACTAAAATCCTATCTAAGATAGATTTGGAAGGATATTTGCACTTGTAACGGCTTTCATAAACAATGTCAATTGACGATATACGATATTTTGAAAGGGCCCAGGGCAATAGTTTCCAAAACATCCCTGCATAACAAATGTGAGAAGTATTCCAATTATGGAAGCCTCTCTTCAACTGTCTTTTGGAAGCTGAGACTTCTACGAAACAAACACCCCATCAGGTGTAGAGATCTAAAGTTTATTTAATCACATTTGACATACGCTAAGTGCATGATGATTAGGTCATGTCAACCTTATGATGAGCTAAAAGCTATCAAGAGGTTTTTAATATATATATATATATGAAAATGATGAGATTAGCCCACTAGTTCATATAAAAATATGAGTCCAATGGTCTAGATTGAATCTTGATCGATATGACAATCACGACCTCATTTCGTGTTTGAATTTTAATTTTTTTATACAAATTCAAATAATTTGAAATTTTAGGTATTCATTCTTCTTATCAAGACGCACCTAATAAAAATATTTAAAAAATAATTTATAATAAATAAATACCTCCAAAACTTTTCAAAGGTATTTTGGTCAATTTAATTCTTGTAAATTATTGTTGTAATATTTTTATTCGATTATCCTATTTTTGAGAAACACATGCCTAAAATTTCAAGTTATTTGGATTTGTAATAAAAAAAATTAAAATTAAAATACGAAATGAAGTCGTGACCATCAGATCGGCCAAGATATAATCTGGGCCATTGGGCTCATATGAACTCATTTGTTCATATAAGCTAGTGGCTAATCTCAGCATTTTCCATAT